CTCTCTCTCTCCTGGTTCACTCCTCTCTCTCTCTGTCTCCTCATCCCACAGAGTTACACGCTAAGGAACGCTGTGCTGTCAGCCATGGGCCAGATGGTGACACGTGTACTAAGCGGGCCCGGCCTGGACGATGGAGGCAGGGAGACGCGAGACCGCTTCCTCGACACCTTGCAGCTCCACGTGCACGACGTCCATGCCTTCGTGCGGAGCCGCAGCCTGCAGGTCCTCACCCATGTCGTCCAGGAGAAGGTCAGCAGCTCTCCGTCTGCCCGCCTGTACATGCGGGCATCTGTCCGTCTGCCCGCCTGTACGTGCAGGCGTGTGTTCCTCTCATTCCATGTCTCTCTGTCTGTACGTGCGAATGTCTGCCTCTCTGTCTGTCTGTACATGCGGATGTCACTCATTCCATGTCTCTCTCTTTCTGTCTGTCTCTCTCTGTCTGTCTGTACATGCAGATATCTCTCTCTGTCTCTGTGTGTCTGTCTGTCTGTCTCTCTCGCTGTCTGTGTGTCTGTCTCCCCCCTGCACCCCCCAGCAATCTCTCTCTCTAGCGTCCTTCTGTCTCTACCACGCTCTCTCTCTCTCTCTCTCTCTCTCTCTCTCTCTCTCACTGATCCACCCCACACTAGCATCCTGTCGCGTGTTCTCTCTCCATCTCAGTCTGTGTGTGTGTGTGTGTCTCACCCTCTCGCACTCTCCCTCCCTCAGGCACTCCCTGTAAAGAGATTCCAAACTCTCGTCAGCCTGGCAACCGGGCGACTGCGTGACAAGTCGGTCAACGTTTGTAAGCACGCCATCCAGCTGCTGGCCGTGATCCTGGCAAACAACCCTTTCATGTGGAAGGTACAGTGTTCCTCCCCCAGGGGGTGTCTCACACTCTATACCGGCTCCCCCGTCCATCAGGCACTCCGAGGGACAGTGACAGCACAGGTTTAGATACAGAGTAATGCTCCCTCTACACCGTTTCCCCCCCCCCATCAAACACTCCCCAGGGACAGGGGGTTAGATACAGAGTAAAGCTCCCTCTACACCGCTTCCCCCATCAAACACTCCCAGGGACAGCACGGGGTTAGATACATCAATCCCTTCTTTCTGTTCTGATTGCAGCTCAGCATCACGGACCTTCAGGCTGCCCACGAGAAGGAAGTGGTGAAACTGACAGAGATGCGTGGGGAGAAGCAGGTCACAGGTGAGATCAACGTGCGCGCAATCGCTGACCCCACACTCAGCCATGTGTCCAGCCCCCTCCCCTGGCCTGAACCTCCTGAAACCGTGCCCTGCCGAAGCTCAGAACCAGGGGTGTCATTACAAAAATCCCAATTAAAGCTCTTGCTCTCGCTCTGGCTGTCTCTGCAAACCAGCTCATCTTGGGCTGCCCCCCAACCCCCTCAAACTTCTTCCTGGCGGGTGGTAGCCATAAACTCTCCGATGTTGCTGTGTTTGGGACTCGGTTCACCGCTGGGTCCAGCAGCCGCTGTGTTTGGGACCGTCGGAACACGGCTCAGTCACGGCCTTTTTACTAAAACCGTGTCAGTTTTATTCTGTCTGGAACATCAGTTGGAGTTGTTTTTCTGTGGCAAATATTGACCCTTGAAATTCAAAATTGAATTGATTAATCGGAGAAATGTACAGAAGTATAGCACAGCCTTGTGGAGATCGACCGCTTAGAAGCAGGCCCTTCGGCCCAACTTGTATGTGCCGCCCCATTTTATCACCATGGATCCAGTCCCATTTGCTTGCGTCGGGTCAACAGCCCTCCAGACCTACTCCGTCTGTGTGTACCTGTTTAAGTTCCAATTGTTTCTGAAGTGACAGAAGTGTAACCAGCCTCCATCACCACCTGTGACAGCCCCTCTCGGTCAGGGCCAAAGTTTGACCCTCTGTACCCTGTTGTATCTCTCACCTCGAACCTCTGCAAAACCTGTCGGCTCTCTACCTTATCGGTATCCCTCGTGATTTTATCAACCTCAATATAAGGTCACCCCATCCTATGCTCCAGGGGGGAAAAATGTCCCAGCCAATCCACCATCTCCTTATAAAGCAAACCTTCTCATCCAGGTATAGCATCCTGGTAAATCGTTGCTGCCCTGTTTCTCGTTTAAGAACATCCTGTCTCTGTGTAGGGCCACCAGAACTACACACAGGACTCCAAATGACATACCTCCAACAAGACATCCCAGCTCCTGTGCTCAAAGCTAGTAACGTTCCATGTTAATCCTGAACTGACAGTGGTGCTTTTTGTACAGAACTGCCCATAAATCTTTAACTTTTGTGATGGTCTGGGAAGAATCAGCGCTCAAATGTCCACGCATGTTCTCAACCCTGTGTGTCTCTCTCTGTGTCTCTCTCTCTCTTCTCTCTTCCCTCTCCCACTCCCTCTCTCTCTCTTCCCATCTCCACCCTCTCTGTCTCTGTGCCTCCCTTCCTCCCTCTCTCGCTC